CCCCTGGCCACTGAGACCTTCTCAGTATGGCTGCCTTGCCAGCCATCAAACCTATGGCAAGTCCACTCCAACTGGCATTCAAATTGGTTGCTGTATACTGTTTGAGTCTGCCCACTCTTCCAAGCTTGCCATTTGATGCAGCTTCCCCCCAACAACTGAAAACTCCAGAAAGGCTTTCTCCTGTCCCAGTCCTCTGTGGGCAGCCAGCCAATGCCAGCCAGTGGCAATCATTTGTCTAATTCACCAGATTTGCATCACTTTGGATCATATGCTTTATCCAGCTCACCACCTCCTCTCGATTCTCCCTGAGCTATGACTCTGGGTAAAGTCCTTGTACCAGGTATAGCTGGGTTCTCTCTTTTTCCACAGTCATTCTAGGACAATCCTTCTTGTCTGCCATCTTGCTCTACCCTGCCCAAGAATTTCTTTCATTTTACATGAATTTTCCCTGTTGGCTGTGGCACACTCCTCTTCTGTTCCAGTAGATTCCTTATAGTTAACAAGCATCTTCATTTTTAAATTTTTTTATTTATTTGTTTTTCAGACAGAGTCTTACTTTATCACCCATGGTAGAGTGCCATGGCATTCATAGCTCATAGCAACCTCAAACTCATGAGCTCAAGTGATCCTCTTGCCTCCAAGTAGCTGGGACTACAGGTGCCTGCCACAATGCCAGGCTATTTTTAGAGACCAGGTCTTGCTCTTGCTCATGCTGGTCTCAAACTCAGGCAATCCACCCACTTCAGCCTCTAAGAACGTTAGGATTACAGGTGTGAGCCATCTCACTCGGCCTCAGTATCTTTGTTTTAAAATAGTGAAGACTTTTAAGGGGCCTTCTTATCATTATTTACACTTAATGTGTGTTAGATTGTTTTATTAGCAGTCCCTGTCAGAGACAGCTGCATTGAGAGGCATGAATTATTATTATTCTTTTTTTGATGTGAGGAAAAGGTGAGGAAGAGTCATTGCAACTTTTTACTGATGGCCCCCATTCCTGGAGTTTTGACCATACCAGCCACCATAGCAATTGCTCTAAACTCAAATATCCAATCACATTATTTCTTTCCTTAGAAATATCTTTGCTGGGTCTTTACTGCTTTTATTTTATTTTATTTTATTTGAGACAGAGCCTCAAGTTGTTGCCCTGGGTAGAGGGCCATGGCATCACAGCTCACAGCAAGCCCCAACTCCTGGCCTTAAGTGATTCTCTTGCCTCTGCCTCCTAAGTAGCTGGGACTACAGGCATCTGCCACATGCCTGGCTATTTTTTGGTTATAGCCATCATTGTTGTTTGGTGGCCCAGGCTAGATTTGAACCTGCCAGCTCAGGTGTATGTGGCTGGTGCCTTAGCCGCTTGAGCCACAGGTGCCAAGCCTCTTTACTGATTTTAGAATAAAATCCAAAGTCTCTGGCCTAAAATTCAAGGGTCTTCTGATCTGACCCTAAATTATCATACAACACCTTAGTACAGTTACTTACTTTTCTATGAACAGACAAAGCTTTAAAAAACTGTGATACTTTTAGCTATCTTAAATCAATCTTTGTAAGTGGAGAAAGGTGCAGGTTAAGTTTCAGTCTTTTACATGTGGATATCCAGTTCTTCCACCACCATTTATGGAATCCTCAGTAGAGTGCTGTGGCATCACAGCTCACAGCAATCTCAAACTCTTGTGCTTAAGTAATTCTCTTGCCTCCCAAGTAGCTAGGACTACAGGCACCCACCACAACGTCTGGCTATTTTTTTGTTATTGTTGTCATTGTCGTTTAGTAGGCCCTGACTGGGTTTGAACCCACCAGCCCCGGTACATGTGGCTGGTGCCTTGACCACTGGGCTATGGCCCCTGAGCCCTGGCTTTGTTTTTATTACTAAGAACTTCCTTAGCTATATGGTTTTTTCTGGTTTCACACAAAATGAAGAATTATTTTTTCCTGAAAAGTCTTGAAAGTACATGTTGGTATTTGAATAAGGATGGCACTGAATCCGTAGATGGCTGTGGGAAGTATAGACATTTTAAGAATGTTGATTCTTCCCAGGCATGAGCATGGTATGTTCTTCCATTTGTTAATATCTTCTGATATTTCTTTTCTTAGGGTTTCATAATTTTCTTTATAGAGGTCCTTAACCTCTTTTGTTAGGTATATTCCTAGGTATTTCATTTTCTTTTCTTTTCTTTCTTTATTTTTTTTAAGATAGAGTCTCACTATGTCACCCTTGGTGGAGT